GAAAGGCCTTGGGCTGACTTTTATAGGGTACCACCCAGAAAATAAAGGACTCGTCTTGTGGGCTTGTTTCTGCAGTTTTAAATACCCAAAGTATGAACTACTAATCCAAGTGTGCTAATGTGAAGCAGTATGTGTAAATATCCAAAAGATGGCCTTATTCAGAATACTTCCAGTTTTTGCTGCCCTGAAATCGCATTGGATGCTTTAACTTTACTTCCTTTTTGAATATTCAGTCACGAAGCAAAGCAGGAGAAATGTACAGCAGTGATGGTATCTAAGGGAAAATTCAAGGTTACGGTTATCACAGTGTTTACTGTATTTATGAAAACAGCATGCAGAGGATAAACAAGCAAAGATAGGGACAGATAACATTGAGACCAGTATCTTAGCCATTCGTCATTACGAAGGCCATACCAGGATAGAACCAGCCTTAAGCTTCATGTGCATGTTGGAACTCGTTGCCACCAAGCACAGTTGGGCCATCATCACTAGAAAGCTTCAAACAACTCCTGCAATTAAATGTGCAAAGATCAAGTGTAACAAGTCGTTCGGTGTAATGTAGCTAGCTGCCGCTGCGCCGCGTGCCCGCGAAGCTGGTGTGTTACGCCGAAGGGCGGTTATACCGGCTAATCCTAGCCTATACAGATACTTATATAATTATCGTATGTTTTTCCTGGCATAGATGTAACTAAAAAAACAGGTATAGATGTAGCTATATAGAAACCGTATTCTTAAGCATCAAACAGATAATTAACCCAACATGAAAGCACGCTGAATGAGTCTGGGTGATCTTTTTGTACTTAGCGTATGTTTTCTTGACAAAGATTTAACTAGAAAAACAGACATTGAAAAATCGTATTCTTTAACATCAAACAGATTAATTAAACCGAGATAAAAGCAGGATGAAGGAGTTCGGGTGATGAATTTTCAAAGCTGGTCCGTCGTCTTTGATCTGCTGTGAGTGAATCTTTGATCACAAGAGAACCATTACCGGTACAAGACAACTCGCGTACGCGCTTTAACGTTATTTTACAGACTGCAACAAAAAGATATTCATTACAACTAATGATGAAACGCAAAGGGATCGGGGTGTTTGCTGCAAACATAATGTGTGAGAGAAATTCAGATGATCATTAAAGGGAGGAAGACACGCACTTATGATTATAGCAAATTATCTACGAACCTTTCCAATTACAATTCAACAAAAAAATGTTTAAAAGATGGGAATTGAGAAACACTAAGACCTTGAAAGAAAGAAGGAATATACTCAAAATGCAAAGGCGAAATTATGTAAGAACATAACGATAACATTTGTCTTGCTTACTTCGTCTCTAGATCTACAGATTAGAAACAGCAAAAAATTGTCTTCGCGGTTTTCCATCTATGTAATCAGATACAATTATATTGGATGTTTTAGTCATATGGTACAACAGGAAGGAGAAGTCCCATCGGTATAGACTAAAGTGGTGCATTAACATGAAGTCTTACATGCAGTGTAAGTCAACTCTGTCAGAATGATATACGTATTCCTGTGGGCATATATGTATATATATGTATGCACCTCTCTTCTTCATGATTACATGCGTCTGTCTCATGTTATTTTCAAACCTTAATGGGTAATTATATGTAAGATTCAAAAAGCCCATTTAAGAAGATAAATGTGGAGCTTTGTATTATCGCAAGCGTCTGTCTCAAGCAAGTCTCGCCTAAAATCGGCAGGGACACTTACACTGTTTAAAAAGATCTACAGTCAAGAATATATGGATACCGGACACTAATATTGAAAGGCCAACTTGTTACGTTACTTCTATATTATTTGATTTGATTTGATTAATCATATTTCGTTACTTTGATTAGCTAACTCCACTTTTGGTTAATTATCTACTTTTGGTTGACAAACCTTTTGACCTATCATTATGATTTGATAACTGAATGATTATGATTGCTTCTATGCTGCCTTGTTTCATTTTGGTTGTATAATGAGTTAGCTACGATTTTCGATCGTTTTGTTCACGATGAGTTTATCTATTTTAATTGACCTGTGTTTGGTTCTTCTTTTATCTTAATTATTATGTAATGTAATTTTATGTTGGGGTTATCCCCCCAGGAATCTTTGAAAACCGCCATACAGGCGACATGTATATCCTGGATAAATAAATAAACAAACAAACAAGTTATTTTTAACTTTTAACTGTCTCTTCTTATTTTCAGACCATTGGTTTTAATGGGAAATTATATGTAAGATTAAAAAAAAGCCTGTTTAAGAAGCTAGATGTCTCAAGTAAGTTATTTTTAAACCTTTCGTTCCTTCATAAGTTCTTAACATTGATAATGGCCATTTAAAAACGTATATTAACTATTGCCTACAGTGAACTGGTAACCACTACTGCATAAAGATCACTTGGCCATTGTGACCAGTTTTTGTGGTCCCTTATAGATAATTTACCCCTGTGGGCACCCCCTGTATAAATATGACCGAAAATAAAATTAGAAATAATAAATAAATAACGGCCGATTACATTCTACCGGAAACAAGCTATGAATATCATCATGAGGTTTCATCAGAAATACGGAAACTACATTATCGGTTTTTGATCCGATTCCGCCCAAAGTATTCTCTTCTGGGAGAGTTTTCTTAATAATTGATGTTCGGCCATTTTGTCGGGCGGGAATCTTTGACACTGATGGACGCAGAGATTATAGCCTCGCCCCAGGCTGCATGAAGGGTTGTTTTTATACAGTATACAGTTACAGTTTATTACGAAAATCAGCCTCGCAACATGAGATACATGTACAAGCTGAATAGAACTGATTTTTTTATACTTTTATGTGGAATAACATCAACCCACATAAAAAAAAAAAAGAAAACTGAAGAGCTCATAGCATTGTCCCCAGGCTAAGCGAAGGGACATTTTATCTATACAGTATACACTTACAGTTTATTACGAAAATCAGCCACGCAGTATGGGGTACATGTACAACAAGCTGAAATAAACTGATTTGTACATAACAAGCTGAAATAAACTGATTTGTACATAACAAGCTGAAATAAACTGATTTGTACATAACAAGCTGAAATAAACTGATTTGTACATTCGTATGTGGAAAAACATCAACTTATAACTTACATACAAAAAAGAAAATTCAAGCAGCGCTGTACAAAATGTTCGCGTTTGAGTGCTGAGTATTTTAATACACTCATGCTTTTTTAACATATAATTAAGAACATGGCATCCAAAACGAAACAAAACATAAGAATAGTATGTATCAATGCAATCAGAGACGGCAGACTTCACATATCTGCTTTCCGGCGCTTACAAAAGCGCCCGAAAAAAGGGTACGAGGCTATAGGCAACACGCCTTCCACCGGCCGGCACAGCTAGCGCGGCTAAAACCTGACCCTGGGCGGGCCTGAGTGTTTCTATCCTCTCCAGACAGCAGACAAATCTTCCCACACCTCTAAAACATCTCCACTTATACTGCCGGCTCACAAATTCGCTCCTCGGGGCTTGTCTTACAAAAAAGAAAATTCAAGCAGCACTATACAAAATCTTAGCGTTTGTGTGTTAAGCATTCTCGGTAGAGCTTGGTACCGAGGCTAGGTTTCCTGCTGTAATTTAAGTGGTGAAGGATTTTTTTTTTTTTTGCTTCAAACTGTTTTGACTCCTCCTGTATTCGCCCTGCACCCGGCCAGCACAGCTAAGACAGCCTGAGCCTGTCTCCAGACCGCCCACAAATCTTCCCACACCTCTAAAACGTCTCCACTTAATGCTGGCTCGCAAATTCGCTCCTTGGGGCTTGTCTTAAGCCGCGATCCGGTCTTACAAGCCGTTTTCGTAAGACGCCTTGAGTGCTCGCTTGTTTCGTGGAAAGCTGCGGTCACCCCGCGCGAAGGCGTGCGAACTACACGGACCTGTTGACTGTGACAAAGCGGATAGACAGGAGCGGATTGTAGCCTCCACCATGCCTTTCTACGGGAATACGGATCGTAGAATTCGACCCAAAAAAAGACAGTAAAATTGGCCAGGGGAGTCCGGGCTCGGGGAGGTACTAGTAGTTTCCCTCCGAAGCGGCCAGTCAAACCTACAAGGCGGGCAAACTCCCCTGGCAAATATTCTCCTATATATATCCTGCGTAGTTAGTCTGGTATGGACTAAGCGGATTGCATGGGGAGCTGAGAGAGAGATTAGTGTTGACCTTAATCTAAATAGGATCAGTATTTTGCGATATTTTTGCATCTGCTTCCTTCCTGTTGTATCTTTATATTGAGAATTTGACCATGCTCGAGCTCGGTTTCTAGATATTTTAACCATATCCAGAACCTTACCTAGCTGGCGCAAATCTACGTCCTTCGATTCACGTAGACTACACACACATTTTGGTGGTTATAAGATAGTAAGAAATTGGCCGGGCAGTATGCCAATATCTAATACGCCATAGGCTTGGCTTGCGAGAGAAAGATGCTGGTAGAAAACCGAAAATCCGATAAATACGACATAGAAAAATACCTAAAAATAAGCTGAAGCCAGTATGAAATTGGCAAGGCAGTATCAAATTGAGCAGTATTGCAATTGGGCAAACAGTGCAAAATCCAATACTGAACTATTTAACTGGCGAATGAAACCCACATCGATACAGAATAGAAATCCCGACAAAAACGCCTAAAAAGACGCTACAAATACGCCAGAGCCTAAACTAAGCCTATGCTTGTAAAGTATACCTGCGGCACAGATATGCGAATACCGGCCCCACCTGTTGCCAGTACAGCTAACATCCCTCCAAAGGCTTAGCCAGATTTTTCACCTGCCTCAATCTCTCCGACTCCCAAATCGGATCACCTTAATTAAGCGGATTAACTCAATACGATGATCAGAACAGATTGATTTTTTTACGGCCACTGAATTTTCTACACGCTAAAAATCTTGCTCTACACCTGTAAGGTGGACGTAAGGTTGGTATTTACTTAACGACGTTGGTAATTATTATAAGGAGGGTCTTACCTGTCGGCGGAACGTCTTCTGTGGTGTAAGGAAAACGAGAAGGAGTCTTGAGTCGTGTTGAGGAGTCTTGAAGATCCGAACCTGACGTCTTCTGTCTTCTGTGAGTGCGGCAGGGCTAAGACTCCGCTCGGTGTGACGTCACGATACGTCACGGCCACGTCACTGCGCTGCTCATGAATATGTAATGAGGGAAGGTGGAGTGACTTAATGAAAGAAACTGCTTTAGTCAATACAAAAAAAAAAACAACTTCGCAGCACCAGTGCTGAATTGCTATTGCGGTTTCTGTACACAAATACGTCGTTCAAATATCATCAGGACTTACGTACTGTACATTAAAAATGAGAACTAAGAACAGGTCTAAATCCTGGAAGGTCACTGATAGTAGTCGACTTAAAAATCTATTATAACATTAACATTAACATTAACTGTCATTTAGCAGACGAACACAATAAGGTAGTGTGATGTTTTGAAATACAGGCGACAACAAGGTTTTCAGAGATTATCGTGCCTAGAACAGGCAGTTCTATGCATGGATGGGTTTGAGTTAGAATCAAGTTCGGTTCTGGATAGTCTCTATCATATCCAGAACCGTTCCTAGCTAGATCAATATCTGAATGGGTTAGGATCAGACATGGTTCTGGATAGTCTCTATTGTATCCAGAACCTTTATTATGCAGTTCTATTCCTGAATGGGTTATGGTTAGGATCAGGCATGGTTCTGGATAGTTTCTACGCATCCAAGAACGTGGCCGCAGACGTTCTGACCTACGTTAGACCTCACCAAACATGTCCCTTTGGCTGTGCTATGCTCGGTTTTCAAGTGTCCCGAGCTTCCCTGTAATTTTACCTCACCGTTGGCAGAGTTGGCGATGTTCAGATTCCTCTACATACTCCACACGACGACCAATTCTACGGTGTATACGCTCTAAACTCATCCAGGGCGCCATGTTGTTTACTACTACCACTAGAGTAAAACTAGCGTCTTCTTTGTAGCAAAATTACCGAAAGTTGCAAATTTTGTGGCGTTTTCGGTAATTTTGCTACAAAAGAGAACCTAATCCAGACGCTTCTTTTGAAGTTGAATATGAGGGCTATCAATGATTTCTTACAGACTAAGCTGTTTATTAGCAATTTGTTTAAGAAATTGAATAATTGTGCAATTTGATTCTCACGCAAGAATGCACAGAAAAAAACAGGATATTAGAAGATGCATATGATCTTAAAAAGGATAACTTCCTTGCACTTAAAATAGACTCGTTACATCCGACCAACTCCAGTCATTATAAATAATCGAGGAACATCATTATATTGTAACGCTAGACTGACTACGAAAACAGACAATTCTAAGAAATATCTACTATAGTACTATTTATAATTACTGACGAATTTTCCCTTTCTCGCATCCACGTAGCCCGTCTGGGATCCGTTTATGATTCAGACTCAAAATATCAAAGACAAATTCGGAGCGCTGGCTTCCGCTGAATTAAACATCCAACCGTATCATTTAGCGTAAAAACAGGGACTACAAAGAAGTAACGGAAGGCAATCTGTTAGAGATCCGGTGTCAATCCATAAACATGGCTCCGAAACATCAGAGCAGAACGTCCGCCAGAAAGCTGACTTCCCTGCTGTACGTTTGAAGTAATCTACAAACAGATCTTCTGGTAGCTACAAGCAGAATTTCTAGGCCAGGGCGTCCCAGTGTGGCGCTGGGAAAGGAAGGAAGAGCAGGGAAAAAAGGAGAAAAGGGAGGTCAAGCAATGACTTAGAAGAGATCAGTCGAACTGGATCTTTCTGTAGCTCTGAGACAGAATTTCTGGGCCAGGGCGTCCCAAAGGTTGGCGCTTGAAATAAAGGAAGAGCAGGAAGAAAGGAAGATAGGAGGCTGAGGAATGACTTGGAAAAGGACAGTCAGGTGGGACCTTGCACAGATGGGTTGTGGATGGAGGGGAGGGGGCACAAAAGATAACTAGCAACAAATAATAGAGTGTGGAAGACATTAATAGCCCGCCTGGGTACTAAGCATTGTAATGCAGCGAAGATGATAATTATGTGAAGATCAGCAGAGCAGAGAAAAGTATCTAACCAAGGAGCTTCAACGTCCTTGATCCAACACGCCAATGCACGATAAAAACGCTTAAAGGGACATCAAAAATAAGCGGAAGCCTAAATCTCTGCTTGGAGAGTTCAACTGATGTAGAGACCCTATAGGCTGAGATTTACAGTCGCCTGTGAAGTTCTATAAAGCCTTAAGCTTGTGTGTGTGAAAAGTAGTAAAAAAGTAATCTCTAAGCAGATCATACTGTAGTAAAAAGTAATCTCTAAGCAGATCATACGGTGGCAAGGCAGCATCCATTGGCCAGAGGAGTGTCCGATATATATACTGTCTGGCCAATGGATACTGCCTCAGTGGCCAATTTGATACTGTCTTTTGCGGCCACCGAAAGACCATGCTTGGACATTAGTAAACAGAGCCTCTTGGTTTGATATAACATCAATAGCGGCTTGTGAAGAAGTCCTGTAAAGCCTTGTGTTTGTGTAATCTGCAGTAAACAGAGCCGGGCGGACCGGAGTGGCCATTAGCTTTTATGTCTGACAGCACGGTCGGCTGGACAGAAGTACCGCCGTGCTGTAGGTAAGCCGCCGCCGGGATCATGTTAGGATAATCACTATGGAATCAGGGTTAATGTGTGTGTGGGGGGGGAGAAAGATACAGAGGAAAGGAGAGGGAAGAACAAAAAAAAAAAAACGGGCAAAAGAGGAAAGTTGTCAGAAGTGCCGATGCTGTAGGTAAGCAGACGACGGGATGTTAGGATAATCACTATGGCCCAGGGCGGGAGGAGTGAGGGGGGGGGGGGAGGAGGAGTGAGAGAGAGAGAGTGACGAGGGAACGAAAGAAAGAAATGGAAAGGGCCAAAGAAGAAACAAGGAAGAACAAAAGAAAAAACGTACAGAGGAGGGGAGTGCTTGGAATTCGAAGACAAATACGCCTTGTTACAATGTACAGATGACTACTGAGGCAGGGGTTAATTCTGGGGTGAAGAGATGATGGAATGAATTGAGACAAGAGAGAGAAGGATGGAAGAAAATGAGAAGAACAAAACTGAAAAATCAGAAAGAACAGTTAAGTGGTGAAAAGTGCCAGGTTACGTTAAGGGTCACCACCAGGTCAGCGGATGGTAGTTGGGGTTAATTGGTGAAGTAGACGGAGAGAAAAAATGAGAATTTTGGCAGCGGTACACATTAATTATGTAAAGACTACTGGAGAACACGCTACAGTAATACTGATGGGTGATCTGACTGATATAAGGGAGAGAGAGAGAGAGACATAGAGAGAGAGAAAGAGAGGGAGAGAGAAAGAAAGA